TATTATAATATTAATAAATTTATATGAGGCCTCTTTTTATTTAAATCCCCGAACCCAAAATTTGTAAATCAGGCTCTGTACACTAGCGTGTGTTGTCTCTGTCAAATGTACAAGATAAAAAAAAAAAACTATTTTGAACGGGAAAACTATACTGCCTCTACAATAATTATAGTAGATGAATTACCAAAATTCCACAATGCACAGGAAAGAACTTCTGTTCTTATCTGTGTAGAAGTGTTTTTAGTTTTTATTTTTTTTTTTTGATAGCACTAACCAGTAACCAATAATTCAAAATAATCATATTGTGGCTATAATAATATACTTAGTAATTTTTACTAGGTAGGTATCTAATTATTGAATACAAGTAAATTGTTAAAATTTACCAATTTGTAAAAACTAAAAACAAAAAACAAAAAAAAAATTTAAATAGATTCAAATCCATTTTATCTACCTAGGTACTTAATTAATATATTGAATAATGAATTCTATCGTACAGTCAACCATTTGCTCACTATAACTAAACAGGTGTAACTTGTACCACYGATGCCCACACAATCTAATCAACTTTCTGCTAACGTCAATAGATACAAAACTCATGAAGCCACAATTCTTAATACTTATAGATATTATAGATATTAGATACTAGGTAYAACAAGGTGCYAACTATTTATTAATGTTAAGTAAAATTATTGTACGATCTCAGTATCTCACTAATAGTGATCATTTCTATTTATATATTWTATTTTATTACAAAAATACCTACCCACCTATACACATGAGTTTTATATATTTATAAATTCACAATTCATGAGGTTTACACGAATAGTAAAATTGAATAGAATGTTTTTAATAACCTGTTATAAAATAAAATCTTATATATTATAGTATTGACAACTTATACCTAAATTCTAAATTTGTACTAAAACTGTACTATATTAAATATAGTTRTTTCATTTTATTATTTTTAAGTGTTTGAGCAATTAATTTTTGGAATTATAAATACTTATTAATACTGCAGTAAACAGTAACCACATAAACACACACTAAATTTCAATTTAAGTG